TTGTCCCCGCCAAAAAAAGTATGTAGCGAAAAGTATGTAGCGCTACATACTTTGCTTTGAGTACCCTTATTGAGCAATCTCTTCAGAATAAGCAGGAGGTTAAGCCATCCGCTTCTGTTGTTGGGGCATAAACTAGTTTTTGGCAAACTTAACATAAGTCCCTATGGATGGACCTAACCACCAACTCCACCAAGTTTTTGGTGAGTGGCGCGGTGAAGTTTTCCTCTACTAAATTTGAAAACTCACCACGCCCAAAAACAAACCAAGCGCGTTATGATGAGTCCCTCGTGCCTCGGAGATGACTACATACATAGTCATCAGAAAAATCTGAGGCACAATTGGACTTTGTTAAGTTTGCTTTGTCTCAACAAGTGATCAGTTTTGGTTTCTTCTCTGCTCTTTTCTCGTGCTGGATATTGGAATGCGTCTTGAAAGAAAATTCTGACTTCCAGCCGTTCAGCCACACGACCTGGTGCCGGAATCCTTGATCACATCAACCGCCAGTAATTCTCTGGGACATCGTACCTGGTGCCAGACCTGATTGACGCTAGAGTTACAGTGCGATGGACCACAAACCACCAATGGACTTTATCAACCTTCACCCTTACGGGCTAGCAACTTCCAGCTTTAGTGATACACCGTTGTCATCTGTGCTCACCAGGGCGGTCATAAAGATTTTTGAGTGAATGATTTGAACGGTATATCGAATATGCAAAAGCCAAAAGTGAAACCTCCTCAATCTTCTTGCGGGTTATAAAGTGAATCACGACGATGAACAAGATATATAGCATTCTAAATAATTAAACACCTTGATCAAGAATGGAATCAAAATTTCAAAATCTTCAACACGAGTCTTATCTAAGGCCCCGTAGTCTCTTACGATGGTCTTGCTTCAGTCTCATCAATCTCAAATCATCTCTATGTCTTCTTTTGGTCTTGATTTCTTTGATTTTGATCTCCTTGAGTGGATCTTTACATCTCACACAAGGATCTGTTCATCAGTTCTCTTCACCAAAAACTACATCTACTATCTTTTATGACCTACTTCCATCTGTCAAACCGATAAGGACCCAAAAATTGAATGAACGCAAGTTTCTGGTCCGAGATTGGTCGTAAGTCTTCTTGCAGATTTTTCCTCGGATTGATTTTTGACGCTCTATTGACCAATTGATTCAATTTTCAATTTGATGATCACAGACCTTGGCTAGGGTGGAATAATGTTCGTTATACAATTGAGACCGGTCTATTGATTGCCAATCTCTTGGGTAGAGAATTGGTCCTTCCCGGCTTCAGTTACGCAAGTGCATGTGCCTATGACATGTCAGTTCTTTTCATTTCGATATTGAGGTCTGGATGGCTGTGACTTATGCTTGATGACCTCTTTATCTACATACGCATACGTCCTGGCTTAGTGAGGTTTGTGAAAAGTTGACGCCAATGTATATCCGAGATAAACCAGTGGATCTCACAAGTTAGTAATGATTTGGTAGTTTAGTGACATTCTCAGTTGACTCATCAAATAACTCTGACCTGTAGATGTCGTTAATCGATCCCAATACCCCGACCCAGATGATGGAAAGACCTTTCTGCTTCCACCCCTTCAAGAACAAAACCCCACAGGATGGGTATTACCCCTTGAAGTGGGTCATTAGCTTGTAGCTTAAATTTGACTTATTATCGTTTGTCTAACTTGGACTGACTATCCCAAATCATTTGAAGAATAGGTTATGCTTGACATTCCTTTTCTGCAGTCTCAATGGGATTCCTGTCTGACTCACAGAGAGTTCCTCCAACTGACTGGAGCCATCAATGAATCCCATTATCCATCGTTTCTTGGGCAATCAACAGGAAAGTGGTCTGTGAATTACAACAAGGGTCTTTCTTATCGAAAGGTTCCAAATCAGTCAGTCAATATGAACTTGAAGATTTCTTTGACAAAAGCGCGTCAGTGGTGCGCTGATTTTTTTCTCTCAAACTTTTCTTAGACTGTTTACCAACATTAATCGAACAATGGTAGATCGACTACCTGATCCAGTAGCACCTCTGGGTAATTCAACATTCTCCTCAGTTCCTCCTTCCGTACTTGAAAAATGTCGAATTACTTTGCAAAAAGTTCAACGTTCAGAACCAGTAAGACCACACAAAAAACGTGTGGTGATAACCTATCAGGATCACAATACTTTCCCTTCATGGAATGATGATCTCATCAATAATGACCAGATGAGCGGGGACCTTTCTATCCGTGACCATGATTTTCTAGAGCGTTGTTTGGCTTCAGGTGGGTATCGCACTGCCTATGGATACACGTAAGTTTGCTGGCTCGCCCATTTGCTGCGGCCAAAATCTACCCTTTGGCATTGGACTCTTGATCTGTTTAATATTTTCACGGTCAAGTCTTTTAGGGTACTGGATGAAGGCTCCGTATGACCCTACTAAATATATCCGTAAAGTCCAGGATTTAACGGGATGGTGGGACGAGCTCAATGATATCGAAGAAAACATTTTACATATCGAAGTGAGACGCGTACCATCAAACTCATCATTCTACCTAGGATCTCTGGCAAGATCTATTACTGAGTTGTACTTTGTGATTTTGAACTAGGGTGAAATTCATAATGGATTTCCACCTGGATCAATGCTCTGGACCAGTCTTGCAGGTCGTCAGAATTACGAAAATCTAGTAAGAACAGCCATCAAGGCACCAGATGTGTATGATCGAATGGCTTCAAAGTTAGAAAGGAAGATGCGTGAACGATGTGAAGGTCGAAGTTGGCGATCTACTCACATGAGAAGGGGTGATTTTGTGAACTACGGATGGGCCATCTCTGTTTGTCATTTCTTTAAACTTTTCCTTCTTCTTCAATTCCTGACTCACTGAAAGAATTGATTGACAGGACATTGGGGAACATTATGCACTGATGCAAAAGCGTTTGAATGCCTCTCTGGCTACTTTGGAAGCCTCACCTGCACTTCTGATATCGGCTCACAAAGCCTACGGCACGAGCCGTCAGGTGCCAAAGCTCGAAGATCCGTGAGTTTACTAGAACAAGATAACAATTTCATCAATAAGGAAGCGCATGGTAAAGACTAAAATCAAAATGCCTGATCCAATTTGATAGTATCTATCTCGCTACGAATGCTAAAGGACCAGAGCTTGATTTTCTCAGGAAGCAAAATGTGATCCTATTGAATGATTTACTAGATGATTCAGATCGAATCGAACTTAGTTTTAGTTCTCATTTTCAAGACACATTAGCTATCCTGGAACAATGTTTGATGATGCGTTCAGCTATCTTTATTGGTGATGTAGGCCTGTTTTTTTACCCTTCAACTCTCCATACAAGACTATTATCATTTCTCAAAATGATATGCAGGTGATTTTAAAGAATTTCCTGACACATTTTTTCTCACTTGATTGATCTTTTATAGGCTCACTCTTCAGTATCTGGAGCCATCCTGAACCAAAGAGTTCACTTTGGGATTGATGAAAGATTAACGAAACTTGAATACCTTAAAGATTTCTAACTGTCTTGAGGTCAAGGTTGCTCGATTTCTTAAATGGATTAGATTTCCTTAGATTATGTAGCTTTCTGAAAAATTATCTTGAATCGTTGATTTGTGTGCTATGAACTTCTTGGCCAATTTGTTTTTTTCTGTATCCTTTTTTCCTCAATTCACACCTTCATTTTCATTTTCTTATACTCATTAGAACATTTATAATTCTGTAGTCTTCTCTTAATCATGTTTCCCCAATTCAGATGATGTTTTGGGGCTATATACAGCCATGGGAATGCATCCACATGACCTAAACATATCTTCAGAGCCCAAATTTGCTGATGTAATTGACAAGATCTTGAACTCAACTAAGCCTCACATGTCACTGCTTCTTGCAATGGGCAAAGATAGACTTATGACAAAAAAGCACACTTTTGCCTTTGAGGGGAATCAAAAATCTGCCTCCCTCATAAAACATTTTTGACCAATTGTAAATTTTCTTGAGTCAAAGAAGTTTTCTTTGTGCCTCTCTTTACATATATATAGACTCAATTCTGTTGAAAATTTTACCAAGGTACATGGTTCCCTCTTCCTCTTTCCTGAGTTTTTCTTTTATTATTGACTTACAGAAATGAGTAATCAAGAATCCATCACTTAATCTTTTGCACACACTTTAAACCTCATTGTTTGATTACCTTTAAACTGCATTCTATTTTTGTCAATTATTTTAATTTAGTATGAATATATGTAACATATAGTAATTTTATAGAAACAGAAGAAAGTATTCATACCTTTTTAAGTTGGTTTTGATTTGCAGAGATTTTGAGTTTCACTTATTCTGTTCCATAAATCCAACCATCCTTAATCTTCAATTTTCAACTAATCAATCAAATCAAATAATCAAAAGTATAATCAAAAGTATATCCAATTACACAACAACAACAACAACAACAACATCACCATCATCATAAACAACAACATCAACCGAAATAAAAAAATCACAAATCCTTTCATACCAAAAAAACAACAACCAAGAGATACATAAAAATAGTCAATGCTATAAAGAAAACAAAAAAGAGTTTGAAATACAAAACCCTTCCAAAGAAAGACATGTCCAGTTTCATTCAAAGATATTTTTGAAGATCATTGTCATCAGGTCCAATAGGTTGATCACTAGCAGCAATATTACATTGCCAAAATGCTCGATGTTGATCTGATCCAAAAGCTCCAACTACACTATGTAAAACCCCACGATTATGAAACAAACAACTATGTTTCCGATGAAATCAAATCAAATCAAGAGAAAATCAATCACCAGAATTTCTTATATGAATTAAATGCTTAAATTAGAATCAAACTTACAGATCATTTTCTTTCCAATCATGTGGATATACTAAATCAGGTGAGATTCCAGGTCTTTGAAAATCATATAAGATCTCTCTAACTTTTTTCAAATCTTCTATTCTTCCTCCTTCAGGATACAATTCAGTAGATTGAGTTGATTGGTTTGATGGGATCGGATCAATAATTAATTTTTCGGCTCCAGATGGATGTACTTGTAAATGCAGTAAACCAGTCACTGGATTCTTCCATAACTTAAAAAAAACAGTTTACAAAAACATCAGAATATAAATTCATAATCATCATCATAGGTTTTCGAGCAAATTGATCATCACTTACTAATGGATATATCTTAATTTCTGTTTCGTTCCATGGTGGTAGTTTATCTTTAGATACTCTTTACCTTCACATTCGATTCCAAGACCAGTAGGTTTTGCTTTAGCTTCTGACATCCATACATACTAAAAAACCAAACAAGATACTCAAACTTTCAGTGATATATTCAAACTCCAACATTTGCAGAGACCGAAAGAAGATATAAACTCACAGGATGTGGTGCATATTGAACCTTAGTACGAACCGCTAAACTCTTAAGTTCTTTCGGTAAGATTTCAAACATCTTTTGTCCACTGACAACTATGTACCAAGAAAAATCGATTCCACACCCTCGGGTTAGTTTATCAGATGATCCATTAAGTTTGAATGATATTTTAGAGTGGGTCTTACAAGCCGTTGTACCCAGTGGAACTGACAGTTCATCTCCTGTACCATCATCATATCTACACACTTGATGTTTTCCTTCTGGTACTCTCAAAGCTTGCAAGGTAGTCACTTTAGGAGGATCAAGTTTATAAAGTGCAGCATCTATATGCCTATCCAAACCGAACGAAAAAAAAAACACATCATCATCATCATCAAACCCAACACCCAAAAAACACCAAGAAATTGAAAAAGTGAATGGAACAAAAGTCCTGACCATCTATAAAACCGAGTATACCCTTTTGATTCATCTTCTTCTGATACGACCGTCTTATGAAACGTTTTATGATGTGGATGTTTAAGGGTTGGTAAAGGATCCATACCGGGTGCGATTTCTTGATCGATAACTTTTCCATTTCCAATTAATTGAACTTGAGGTTGAGATGGTAAAGTCTTTAGATCAGGATGTAATACACTTCCTCACCATAAATTACAACAAGATCAAGTGTGTTTGAATCAGAATTTGACCAATTGAAGATGGTGATGGAGTGGGTGTTCTTACGATTTGGATTGGATACCTGATTTTTCATTATCATGCCTTTGGAATTTGAGTGATCGGATTCGGAGTCAGTATCTGAAGAAGAAATAAGTGTTTGAACCAAGTAAAAGATCATATACCCATATGTAGTACTACTAGGATCAAATCGTTTTGTAAGAGTATATTGTTGAAGCGGATTCAATTTCACACCACGCCAAAGCACCAAAGAATGTTTATAAAGTAAATCCTCCAACTAAATAAACCGCAAACCCGAAAAGGAAAACGCATTTATGAGTAATACAAAGGTGCTTAAGATTTCGAGGTTTTCTTACTTCTTTAAAGTCTTCTTCTGATAATTTAGTTGGATCAAATGTATTATTTTCATACGAATCCAAATTAATGATGATCCCAAATTCAGGTGGTAAGTTTGATGAGCTGTTTGAGAGTGTATGGAGTGGTGTAGTGTTGAGTGGCATTTTGATTTAATGTTTTTCAGGTTTGGGTTTGGTTGGATTGGAATCGAAGGTAAAGAAGAAAGAACTTGTAATCGATTATGAACTGATGACGTCATTCATCGTCATCAAACATACAATACAGTCAATTTGAATCGATCAGATGCTTTGAATTTCAAAACCCCAAAAATCATCCTCATCCCAATTTCCCCGCCAATTTAGGTATGTACTTCGAGTCTTGTGTGAAGAATTGGATAAGATCTGTTTCTTTAAATGTGGTTCGATATGTAGTCATTCTTTTGATCAAAAACTGCACATGACCACTTTACATTCAAAATTCAATCAGAAGACTTAAAGCAAACACCAAGAAATTATAGTACAACCTTCAAATCATGATCATTTCAAAACCATCAAGTTATAAATCCAGTGTTAAGCTTACAAAGCGGTCAAAGAGAACATTTAGGATACTTCAGTTCAGAGTACTTTGTTGAAGCTATGTAATCAAAATGGATTTGTTTCACTTTCCTTTGATGTCTGCCAAATCCTTTATGATCATTGTTTGGCTTTCATGGCTAGCAGTAAGAACATCCCTTTCTCATTGGTTAGTAAGATTTGACATAGCCACTCTGTGGCCAACATACACATCAGGTAAGGTTAAGTTGATTCTAGAGGAAACTGAGAGCAAAACCAGTTACAGTTGGTTTCTCTGTTGTGCTGATGAACTTTTTACAATTTTTGGTACCACCACTTTGGAATGGCTGTGCATTGAACAGTATATACTAAAGTTGAAAGGAAGAAATTTTCCTGGCTTGACTATACTTCTTGGGGAGACATGTTGACTGCCAATTTTATTGCACTTGTTCCACCTATCCCTTCATACCTCAGATGTCCCCTAATACTATGCCTTTAACAGATTCCACTACCTTCATACTTTGTACCAACCACAAAGAAAATGCAAAAAGGAAAAATGCAAAAAGAGAAAAGCCAAGAAGATGATTTACACTAAAAAGAGTGGTACAATTTCTCCAGCTCTACATCACATAAAGCTTTTTTTTTATTTGATCAGTGAACATGTTGTATAATAAAGTTTTATAATAATTTATCAATTTTGAAATATAAATTCTTTTGGCTGTTTATGAAGTATCATAAAGCCTTTTTTTACACGTGTTTTTTTCAATTATCAACTTACTCTGAGAAAGATTGACCTTTTTTTTTGTGAGTTAAACCCACCAAAAAAAAGATTTTATAGGGTTTGTATTCTCTTTTTTTTCTGGAAATTAGTCAAGAAAAAAAACTTTGTCTCAAGAACCATGATGCACTTTTTCAAAAGAATGTCAATCATTCTCAAACCAGCTGAATCTTTACATCTTCAGGATTGTCACTTGACCCCATGTTTTTTTATATTGGGACCATCAGTTGAGTGTGAAGTTCCACCAAACATATTTCATATGGGTATACACTACAATCCAAACTTAATGAGCAGAGATGGGTTCAGAACATGCCTGGGTTTTACAATTGGGATCCAATTGGGCTTACATAACAGTGAGAAAAGTGGTTTGGAATCCTTTTTTGTAAAGTTTTGTGTTTTTCTAGAATATGTGTAAATTCAATATACTTGGATTGTAAATCACAAATATTGTTGGTAGCTCAATACCTCATCAGAACATAATTCAACCATAACATAAAATAAATGCGCCCATTATGAACTCAACAGGTACTTTATATATGATTTTCATCTCAATAATAGACTTCTTCAAATTAACTTGAGATTCTGGGACCAAATCCCTGTTTCAAGCAGGGATTTAGGACCCAAGACCTGAGCTTAGAATTTTGAAAAACCAAGGCATACAGAAATCAAGTCACTTCTATTTTTGGCAAAAAGTCCTAAAAAGTCTTGTTTATGCTTTTTACATGCATTCACTCTTTGAGGTTTTTTTGTCTTTACTCTATCATACTAACATATTCACTTTCTTCACATTTCTTCTCTAAGAATACAGTGATACTATTGTAGAGGAAGATTTGGATTTCTATAGATTGCCAAAAACTTATTTTGTTTATAGTGTAAGTCATATTTTGATCAACTTGTTCCGAAAACCCATTCACCACTGACACCTACTCTTATATTAGATAACAAACTCAAACAAACAACAGTGGGCTGAGATTGGCCTCATGAAAAGGCTCCATCAAGGTGGGGCAAACAGTTCTACATGTTTCAAGTGGGAAGCAAGAAATGATCTGTGTGTCAGTCCTACTCACCACATAACATGGCTGATGCATCCCATGTCTGGGTTAGACCAAAGTACACAAACTTCTCCTTTCAATATTGTTTAGCTTCTTGTCAACATCATAGACAGTCTCTGACTTGAAAGGATTGGTGGGTATAGTAAAGTCATATCT